CATGAGACGTGCCTGAATTTTCCCCGGGGTATTTGTCAAAAGATATTTTGTTTCCCTTGGGGGGGCTATCACAGCGGGAAAGTTTAAGTGCCTAAAAAATCATCCCAAAGGTTGACCAAAAAAGGGAACCCTTTTGGGAAATTCGTTTGTACCAAAGTCACAATCATCGGATCAGAGTTTGAGTGCTACCTTTTTCAACAATTGACCCCCGATGACATCTTTTTCCCAGAAACTGAAATTAAGGTTTTTCCACATATTTATAAAAACCAAAAAGTTTTTTTTGGGTGTTGAACTTGCGAGCAGGCGTCCAATAGAGAAGCTAGTCATTTAGCAGACTGGCTTTTTTGATTCCAGGGGATGTGCCTTTAATTACACCAGAGGTTTTCTTATTAAAAGTGGCCCCCTGGCGGGAAAAATCATGCCCCATCAAAGATCTAATTCTCCCCAAAAGTAAAGTTAAATCTAGTAAAAAAAGCCATTAATATATTTTTTAAATTTGGCTTCAGATGAACTTTCCTCTGTGGTATGTAGACTTTATGAATTTAAGCCCGGTACTAGACAAGCGACAAGGTCTCATCATCTTATAGTTGAAATGGCTAGATGCTAACAATTTCTTGTATTGCACTTCTTGATTGTGGAACTCCCTTCTGGCTTCTTACTTTCCAGTCAACTCTCATTTTCAAAAATTTAAATGCAATGTCTTCTGTCTTCTTAATTCTTGTTCTTTTAATGTTTTCTCTCCTCAATAGCCATTTGTTTTCTCATATTCTCTAAAACTCAGTAACTCCTTGCATCTTAGTGGCTTTATTGCCTTGCTTGGAATGAAATGATTGACCCAAACAACACAGATTTATCTTTGTAATACTTTGTGGAATAACCATGCTATGTCACTTTGAAACTTGAAACAAAAATAATTTTTAATAACTATTGCTTCACAGGTTCTGTGTACAAATATTTATAAAGAGTCGTCTGGACTGGTTTCCTTATATTTGTTGGTTTGTTGGAATTTAATTAAGGAAGAAAAGACATCGGGCTAAAGATTCCAAAATCCGCAAAACAAGGTGATCAATGATTACTTTTAAGCAGCCTGGAACCTAGATTAAGAGCCTTAGCCAGTAAGCACCAAAGTCAACCATCACATTGAAAACATTGAGATAAGCTATCAAATAAAAGTTGCTTTTTTTAGCATTTTAATCATTGGCATTTATAATAGAAATGAAAACAATATTAAAATTATTTTTGCACTAATACTGAAGTGTTATCTTGCTATGAAAGATGAATTCAGTATAATATTCGGAATTTATTTTGATGGTTGGGTGGTGACAAAAATGTTTGTGCCCAAAGATGACACAGGTTGAAAAATGGTTGGGAATTCCTGGGTTAAGCAGATCTGGTTACCTGTGGTGGGTTGTGAAAATGTTATATACTTTAGTTTAGCAAAAGAGACAAGTCATATCACAAAGATAAATTAATTAAGATTAATTGACTCATGAAATTTCCTCTACCATTGACTGAAAAAAATCTACCTCCATGGGTTGAAAAAAGATCTGGGTAGAAATTTCTGATAATGCAATAGATACTTGAAGAAGGCCGTTTGCAACTCTGACAAGCCAGATGAAGACATATGACCAAGATAACCCATTCCCTGCCAATTATTTTGGGAAAAATGTTTCATTTTCAGGTGAGTCATTTTATTTGTTTTTAATATGGGAATTAAGAAACTGAGGTACCTTGAAGTACCCGAGTAGAGGCTAACACTTCTACCAGACGTATAAGTTGACAATTGAACTTGTTTCAAGCTCAGAAAGGCATAAAAAGAATCAAGATCGATGTACAAACATATCTGTAGCTGACTTTTGAATGTTATGTTTTGGATGTGTTTATTTGTCCATTTTTAAAAAAGACACTTGGTAAAAATGTATATACACATCTACACTGGGGAAGGGGTTAATGAGTGTATAATAATTTTCTGTTTTTGTTTATCACAAGATTTCAAACATTGTTCCTCATGTCTTTATTTCTCCTTTCTTGAATTTGGAAAGTAAGAACATGGTTTTCAGTTATATTGGAGGTCTATAACCACATCACTTGGAAACACTGGTTCCTGTATGATCACCAGAGTTAAGCAACATCAAGCTTGGTCAGTACCTAGGTGGGTGACTGCTTGTGAATACCAGGTGCTGTAAGCTTGGGTGCGTGGATAGGGTAATGTTTTGGAATTGTTAATCAGAGAGCTGAGTTCCAATTCCAGTTGTGTTCGTTATATTCACTTACATGCAAATACCTTTTCTCCCCCACCTATGTGTTAAAGAGTAAAACTTGGATCATTAAATTATTATTATCTCTAAAAAAAAATTCTTACAGGCTAAAAATATTTTCTGAGATTAAATAGGCAGCAAATGGTTGATAAGCCATAGAATACAAATCAATCACGCCAACTAGACCTGGTAAAGGGAGGTAATTTGAATATATGTCTTGGGAATATAAATGTATAGAAACTACAGTGGCCACAAAATGAGATCAGTTTATATATTGATTGTAACACAGAATTGACCCCCCACTTTATATCCACATATATTATTTCTTGTTTGTTTATGAAATTCTGATTAGGTATGAATCTACCTCTTCTTCCCCCCAGCTATGGGTTAATTAGTAAGATGTGTATCACTAAATCATTAATATCTCCCCCCCCCGCCTAATTCTTACAATCTAAAAATATTTTCTGGATTTGAATAATCTACAAAGGGTTGATAAACCGTAGAAAGAAATCAATCAATCAAATAATAATTAGCCATACAGGTATGTCTTTTTGATTTATTTACATTTTCTGGAATATAAATGTATAGAAACTATCCTAGTCACAAAATGAGGGATCAGTTTATATATTGATTTTTAATATGGAATTTACATCCACATTATAATTGCTTGTTTTTTATCAAATTCTTATTATTATCATTAAACCATTATTATCTAAAAAAAAAACCCAAAAATCTTACAATTTAAAAATATTTTCTGGCTTTAAATAACTTGAAAAGGGTTGATAAGCCATAGAAAATGAATGAATGAATCAATTATATTATATACTCTGATTTTCATTTTTTCTTGAAATTTACAGTACCTCCCAAATTTATTAATATTTAAATATCTTTTGATTATTAATATGTAAAAAAATTTCAAGACTCCTTTTATTAAGACCTGTTTATTGTATATTGACAAAATTCTGCTACCCCAGTTATTAAAGCCTCCCCTATTTATTAGACACATGAGACTATCTGGAGGAATTAAATTAAAACTTACTATTTTTGATAACTAATTTCTCTTATGTTCATTAATATAACTTGAGAGAATTAGCAACCCAAGATAAGGTAGCATTTCTGTCCCAACCATTTTTTTCACCTCTTCCTTTTTTTTTTTATCATTTTTTTTTACAGGAAGGTTCCCCCTGTACAAAACCTGGGGGCTACTTGAGGTAGAGGGTTATGAGAAAGAGGCAATTTATAAGGATAGGAGAAGGAGATACTGGTTAATCCTGGCCTTGAACAGGTTAAGATTGTAGTGATCAGGGAAACATCCTCTTGAGTGGTTTGCGGAAAGAAGCTGTTCGAGTATGTTATGATGTTGATTTGGGGTTAGTAGAGATAAACGCCAAATAATACGTAACAAATAAAAGGGTTTTAATAGGTTGGTAAATAGGTACAGAAATCGCCTGAGTAGTCAATAACTAGCTCAGCTAAGAACTGCTCCATCTCTCTGTCTTCTGACATGCCGCTATTTAACGTCTTTGTTCGCAGGCAAGTTCGTCTTCAAGAGGGGTGGTAGGTTTCCGACACAACAGAGTAGAACTTACTTGTCACCAAAGAAATACAGGGGGAATGTGAGTGGTTTGATACTATGTAAGTGACATGGTGTGTTCTTACCATGAAGGTTTGAACTGGTAGGACCAGAGAATGTAGTTTGTCTGAGTACTTTCTGTGGAAGTAGTGATAGAGCTGTGAGTGGCTTGCCACATCTCACCATTGGGAGAAAAAGGTTGGGGTGCGGAGAATAATTTGTCACCCACAAGGGCTTGGAGATGCTTTTGGACTCTATCAAGGCTGAAGAGTGATTTCTAGGCAGTTCCCATTTCACCCCAAGTAAGGCAATAATGCCACTAAGACACAAGATGTTACTGAGAGTGAAAGAGAATTAGAAAAATTAGTGAAGAGAAAGAACAATAAAAGAACAGCGTTCAGGAAGACAGAAGATAGCAATTGGTGTTGCATTTAAATTTTTGAAGATTGTAGTTATCAGGGAAGCAAGAAATCAGAAGAGTTCCACAGGCGAGAAATACGAGAATAGAACTTATGGTTGCATCTAGCTAGTTCAACAGTAAAACAGTGAGTCACACTGTCTTGATCCTTTTTCTTATTGTACATTGATTTATTTGATAATATTAGCTGTTTTCTTATAAGGAAGACATTTGGCATTCACTGACTGAGTAGGCAGATCTGCTTTCAGTTGAAATTTATAAAATCTTTCTCTTAAAACAATTTTTCAGGAAAACAGGTTTCTCAAGCCCAGTGGCTGTTGTCCTTCCAGTATTAACTGGAGTTTCCTTTCCAACCTTTTGTTTGAAATCATTTGAAACACTGAGACAAAACCTTACTAAGAGCTACAAAGAATAGGAAATTGTGAAGAGCCTTGATCACCTAAATCATGAAGAAGAATATTCTGCATACTCTCTAAAGTATATATGGATGGCCTAAGTAATGCCACGATGTATATACAAAGGAAGTTGAATTCTAATGATATTATTAGTCAATTCCTTGAAACATCCGACATTCATTAACTGAGCAGCTTGTACTGCTTTCAGTTTAAATTTATAAAATCTTTTTATTAAAACAATTTTTCAGGAAAATCTCTCATGTGAGAAAACTCTTTATGCCTTCCATCAGTATGGCTGATGCTGACCTTGAGAAGAGTGACTCACTATACCTCCTCAGGCTAACATTTTCTGCTAACATGAAGTGGAAAAAACTATATTGAATCCATTGCTAGGTCAGCTGCTAAGTAAGTTGGCTCACTGTGTTTTGCCACATATAGTCTGGTCCTCTTGCTATATATTTAGAGATTCTTGATAAAATCCAAAGAACAATCAGCAATATTATTGGTCCTGATCTGGCATATTAGCTTCAGTCACTTTTCCACCACTATAAAGTTGATTCTTTCTTCCTTTTCTATAAATACTTTCATGGTAATTGTTCGGATGAGCTCTTCGCAATGGTAACTAGATTTATGAATTTAATATTATTACTAAACTGGTGGCGAAGATCTCATCACCATGGACCAAACATGTAAACAATGACAAAGTTTTAGGGAAAATAGAAAATAAAAATGATGCTTATGCTTATCATCAGAAAGAGACAGCTGAAATTACTATGGCACATAGAGGGCTTGGAAAATTTGATACTCACAGAACATATTGAAGGCAATAGGCACAGAGGAAAATGGCACATAACCTACATAATGAGCTTGTATAAATGGATGGTTGAACAGGGATTTTAATATTATTGGACCTGATCTGGCAGCTTGGCTTCAGTCACTTACCCACTGCCATAATATTGCCTCTTTGTGCCTTTTCTATAAATACTTTCATGGTAATAGTTCAGATGAGCTCTTTGCTCTAGTACCTGAAATTTATGAATTTAAGCCCAAGGGCTAGATTAGCAAAAAGGTCCTATTTATTTACAGTTGAATTGGCTAGATGTAACAATAAGTTCTATGCTAATAATTTATTTTCTTGCACTTCTCACTTGTGGAACTTTCTTCTGGCTCCATGCTTTACAGCCAACTTTGTTCTTCAGAAACTTAAATGCAATGTCAATCATTATCTATTGTCTTCCTGATTACTTTTCTATTGCTCTCGCTCCTTTGTAATGTTTTCTGCTTTCTAATTCTTTCACACCCAGTAACCCAGCTTTACTGTCTTTCTTCAGGTAAATCCAATTAAAAAAATGCGTTACATGTGATATTCATTTTAGTTTTTGCTGATATTGATAAACCACAAGTGATGCAGTTTCTGTTATTTGGTACAGTACTTTGTGATTTTGTAGCAATGTTCAAAGAAGTATTATCTTTGCCAAGACCCACAGATTTCACTCGCTCAAAATCATTTTTTAACCATTGACCTTAGAAAGTGGCTATATACAGTTGACAGTTTAGATATTCCTGAACAGGTTTGGTACAATGCATGACAATCAGATGAAAATCTTGATCTAACAAAGCTATTTAAGAACATGACTTGAATTTTCAAGTTGATGTTTTGATTTTATAGCAATTTGCAATGTTGAGCAAAACTACCTCTGATTATATGTCGAGTTTCCTTATCTCCTATACTAAATTTGTTATAACTGATCTATACACTGAAGTATTTAAGTACTTATTATTTACTAATTCCACACCTTGAACCTTTGTGATGAATTCATGTTATATGTCATCACTGCTTTCATTCTGATTGCAGAGCATAATTTTTGTTTTGGAAAAGTTTATCTTGAGTCCTATTTCTTGGAACACATGGTAGAGGATGTTGATTTTCTGTAAATTCATGAACCTCAATAACCTCTCGCATCTTAGTGGCTTTATTGCCTTGCTTGGGGTTAAATGATTACAAAAAATAAGATTGCATGTCTCATACCATGCATAAAAATATTTTTTTGTCTTTTAGGTGTTGAAAAATTAATTTATATTAAACTGATGATGATAAGCATGATCAATCTTTGACTTAATTTAGGAAATGCCCACTGCCCACATTGAATTCATTCTGGATAACAAAAAACTTGAACCATGCTGATATCATTGACAGAATTTATTTCTTTATCTTAGTGGGTTTTAATCCGTGTCTGCAAGGTATAGATTCATCATGGGTGCCAACAAACTTTGAGCTATGCTCGTATCTTTGATAGAAATCTTTTCTTCATCTCAGTAGGTTTTAGTCTGCATCTGCAAGGTATGAATTATTTAAAGAAAGGATTTCCTCAAATGGAGTGATTGGCAGATTGTGGCTTACTGTTTTGGGAGCTTCATGTGCTTTTCACTATTGTATTGACGCCACTGGGAAACCATTTCTGCAGAGAAGGCTTCCCAGAGAATTGTGAATTTATGTTCCTCATAGAAGCCTTTCATCGAGATTGGATTCAGTGAACAAGAAA